TCACAACCATCAGCATGTATTTTTATGCTTGGTTTATACGACTTCGACCATGTCTAGAAACAGCCTGGTGTTCAAGCGTGCACCGTTCACCTGCGACAGACCATCAACAGCGAATTATGCCAACGAGGAGTTTAGAGACAATATCATTCAGACTAATTCCTCTGTTGTTTTCCCAAGAGGATCTTTCACCTTTCTTTTAGAGGGATAAAATGATAGAAATACATCACTCAACTGAAATCTGTTCTGCTTTTCAAGACTAAGGCTCAATCTTCATCTTGAAAAGCTGATGACAACAGCCTATTCGGGTCAGAATTTTTATACCTTTTGAGGCAACTTATTTCTCGGGATACATCCATTTCAGTCGCAAGACTGGTATCAATCTGCAGTATTTGTTCAGCTAAACTAAGCCTCAAAATGTTCTTTTAGTTGTACGATACAACATTACTAAAGATGAACCCATATGCCGTCGGACTCCTTAATCACCTCTCTTATGCCTTCTTGGGTTTGGCTCGTAGTCTTAATCAGAAGACCATTACGAATGTGTACGGTCATCTTCGTCTCTCTAAAATTTACTACCTATTATTTCTCGCGGTCATTCTTCAGGCCATAGATGGGTCAGCGCTTAAGGGTTTCGCGTTGTTTGGCAGGCATCTAACAAGACAGCTCAGGTTTGGGGAAACTCATCACTGTTTAGGTTTACTTTTGTAAAGCTCATTTGATTACCCTTTACTGTTCGTCTTTTCGTCCAGCGAGTTGTCCGTGTATGATTGTGTAATCTTGGTAATGCTCAAATTCACATTTTTATGTGTCAGTTAAAGCTGAAACTTATGGGATCTCCACAATCTCGGTTCGGATGATTACAAAACTGCAATGATTAAATGTTAATAATCAAGCCTATTCACTGTTGCTGAGGACAACCAGTGATTAAATTCATTAAAACTTGCTGAAGACACACCTGAACTGAATGGTAAACGGTTGCAGAAATACAGACCGAAAGAAGCGTCATCTTCATTACGTTCACAGAAATCAGCAATTATCGGAACTTGTGTGTGAAATGCATTGCAAGACAGATGAGTTACATAACACTGAAAAGAGAATCCAGTATAGCCACGTTGCACAGCTTATGTCCTGGGATGATTTCACTGTATCTCAACTAGTGCCAACTGCAGAAAAGCACAAGGTTTATATAGGGTTTGCGAATAAGTTACAAAATAAATTAAAGTGAATAGGGGATTAGAAAGGGTTTAAGTGACGATAGTTGTTACCAACATCAAACCAGGGTGATGAACAAGTGCATCCATTTACACCTGAATTCTCTATTTTTACTTCAACACTGATTTGAACATTCCAGTCTTCCTTTTACTCCGTAATTCAAATAGGCCAACTTAAGACAGCAATCAAAACCGAAGCGTGAAGGTGCATGGTTATTGGTTACAAAAACTGAGATGAACTGAAAACTGGAGAACAAGTCCTTTTGTTAACACCATATTGGTTTCCATCGATTGCTCGCTATCACCTCGGCGATCTTGAACATTCTGGTAATTGTTCAAATTGTTCTTTGTCAGATTTAAAGTTTTTATGTCGATTATGAATAGTTCAGTAGACTCGGTGTGGCCTCGTAGTTCAGCTAGTAGAACGTACACTGTACAAAAGCGTAGGCGGTGGCCATGCACGGGTTCAAATCCCACCGAGGCTACCAAACTTTTCACAACTGAAATACATTCTGGTAATATCGTAATCGAGTTTAGAACACATTCCAAACTGATTTTAATGTAAGGTGACCATATCAAGGTTCACACAGTTGGTTATTGACATGAGCAGTGCACAGAAAAAACAAACAAAAACTTCAAATTTTGAGCATTTGTTGATGACACAATCCCTCGTTGATTGATAGTAATCATTTCATATATTATTGAAAAACGAATTCACACTAGTCAGAAGTCGAACCAGGATTTTGTTTGGTTAGCATTCAAACATGAACACTGGTTAGTTGTTAGCAGCCGCACTGTTGTTTGACCACCGTATAGTAGTCATTCTGAGTGGGGATCCTACAAACTGACCGCTGGCCGCTATTTGATAGGTTAATTAATACCACTATTTTCGATAGGTGGACCATTAGTAAAATGAACAATAGCCATAAATCCTAATTCACTGCTTTGGGAAATCTGTGTTGCAGAGGGGAAAAAAGTAAGCTATCTTGATTATGAACTTTAGACCCGGTAAGGAGTGTCCTAAACTGATGATAAGAAAGTCACAAGTGAATTTATTCACACTGAACTCTATCAGGAACCGTTCTCTTGCCATTATGGTGTGTAGTGCATGCACATCCACCACTTTCTTTGACAGCAATATCTGGACTAGCCTTTAAAACACGAGATAGCTTGGCGTGTAACATTCAATGGAATAAAAGATTCCTCTGGATGGAATGATACCGAATTTGACTACCAATTGGAAAAGAAACAATGCGTTTGTATGAGGACACACTCACAGCAAGGGAGTTGGGTGTATCATCCGAGGACGAATCATCTGTCAGTTTCGAATAACTTATGCAGGAAAAAGACAAGGTATGTTTCGTATTTTCATATTTGAAGCATTTGCTACTCTCCAGGGGATCTGTATCTCGTGACTGAGGTCTACCACTGGACCGACAGTGCCCGAGTCCAGTTTGTGATTTGAATGCATCTACTTGATTGTTTGATGGTGCCAAAATGAACTGGGTCCTCAGTAAGAGTTTTGGGTAGATCAATAACTCAATTCTGAAACATAATGTATGATGTGTATTAAGTTGAACCATACACATCTTAGACCTGTTCACAAAATTCACGGACCAATAGAAAGGTAGGATTAGATAATTAATGAAGCATTTTTCGTAGATGTTGACAGTTAATGCTAGCATTCGAGTGGTCGCGAAATGGAATCCCTATGAGATCACCAAAGTTATAACGAGAAACTTGAGTTTGAGGATGAAGCATAAATTCACAGGTAGGCGAAAGTTTTATCGGCTTCAGTTGGTGAAAGTTCGCTTATTCATCAACTTCGAAGTTATTTCTCTCTTTTTGAATGTAACGTTGCACAGGACTTTGAAACTCATTTTTCGGCAAAATAAATTGACCGGTTTGCGTTTATCAGAAATGTCTTTAGAGTCACTCCATCATAACTGGAATATGTCACGGTAATCCAAAATATCTCGTAAAGCAGCATCCAAATTAGGAAACTCCAAATGCCAAGATTGTATTCTTGAAGATAATGGCCCGCGAAGTAAATTATTTGATGGCATCGTCATAGAAAGTACCGAATGGAAACTTTTATACATGGACTATTGCAGTATGGAATGCACTGATTATCAGAACTCAGCACAGCCTATATATACATATATGCATTCTGGTTTGTAACTGTAATGAATTTGAAAAAATCGATAATGTGTGCTCGTGCTTCATTGATAAGGAGAACAGATTTAGTTTTGTTGAATCTACTCGGAGGGAGAGTTGCCGATTTCAGCGGATTTAGGAGCATGATGTCTGTGAAAAGCAAAGTACAGTTCTGTGCATCTGATGTTATGTGGATCAGTTTTTCGACTGGTTGCAAAATTTCTAGCGAATCGCTCCTGTTTACTTTCTGTATTATAAAGCAATTCAAAAGTTTTATTCTAAAAAAATTTCATCCAAATTAACTGACAGTTAAACATAATAGAAACGAAAGTTAAACAAATAGACATAAATATCTGTATGTATCAAGTGAGTTCTTGTCTGAGTTCATCAGAAGAAGGATGTTTGCCTGAGTACAATCGACTTTATAGTAGTTATGACTGTCTCACAAACTGTTTACAAGTGAAACAATGTTTGATCACGGATTAGGCAATAACGGAATTTAAACGTGTTATTTAGCCAATTCGTGAATAAAATCTGAGGGAAATGTTTTTGCGAAAACCACAGAGAATTTAGATTAAATGATACCACCTATAATACTTTTCGGTGATGTTATATTCTGTCGATTGTCTATTGATGTACATCTACGACTGGACTGAGGTTTGACGAAATATATCAAATAATCGCGGTCACCGGTTTCCTCAAGTGTTTAACTTCAAAAAATTGCACTGAGATACACATGGAACTTGTGTGGTTACTCTAAAAGGTTTTGTATACTGTCTTATGTTTGCCCAGTAAGTAGAAAGAAGAATTTTTGAAGGGATAAACGAAAAAAAGAGTGTGAAAGCCATACCAGAGTGAAGATGCAGAATGTAGTTAGATTGACTGAGCAGATAATTTGAGTAGATTCATGAGCGTCACTGTTCCCGACACTGAGCTATATCACACGGACCCAAAACAACTCGTCCAGAGAGCCTGAAGGGACCTACTTGAACACGTCTTCTGCTGAGGGTTTACACCCTCCTGCTAGGTTTGCGTTCGATCAACTTTGATCTTCTTTCAATCCGTAGCTGCCTTGACAAACGTTACCCACCGCAGTGGTATGCGTAGCACATAGCCCAACCAACGTGAACAATGGTCTAGCACCTGCTGCAGTGGAAGACCGTGACTGCATCAAACTTCTCTTTCAATCGCGACGTTTCTCCGGGCGTTTCACCGAACTCATGAATTACTGCTATAGTTCCGAAGTTTTCGAGGGATCAAAGGTTAACTGTCACTCCAAAATGGTTTCATTTTCACCCAATTACGAAATTTTGGTTTGTTTGCCGGAAAGTCGATTCCTTCTCAATCATCTATCATCATGATAGACCAATTCCACTAAGTGTTGCGTGACGGCCAAGGCACCAATCCCGTTGAGGTGTAAGGGGTTCCCAATAGTAGATAGATTAGTAGATGGATTCAGTGNAACGAATTCACCTAAATTTACAACAGTTTATATTAAAGTTTAATTATTCTAATTGGCACGTTTATAAGAAAAAAAACAAACAGTAGCACTGTTTCCCCGAAATCTTTTGCTCGTATACTTTCGAGGAAATCAGTG